TGGCCCGCCGCCGCGGCCTCCCCCGGCGGCGCCGCCCGCCCCGGGCTGCCGCAGCGCCGCGATGGAGACGGCGGAGAAGGAGTGCGGAGCCCTTGGCGGCCTCTTCCAAGCCATCATCAACGACATGAAGGTAGGGGATTCCCCCCCCCCCGCGCCCCGGTTTTGCTGTCGTGACAGCGCTCCCCCCGCACCATCCCCCCAGCACCCGGCTGCCCCAGGCAGCCCCCGCGCTGCCGCCGGTGCCCGTCCCGCGGTGGGTACCGGGGCTCTGCTGCCCAGCCGCGAGATGGGGATTGGAACCCCGCATCGGGTGTCGGAGCCCGAACATCAGCCCCACAGCGAGTGTCGGGGTCCCACATCGGCTGTCAGAGCCCGGCACGGATTCCCAGAGCCCCACATCAGCCCCTTACTGGGCATCGGAGCTCTGTGTTGGGCATCGGAGCCCTGGAGATGGCAGCCCTCCATCATCTCTGTATCTAGCGTTGGATATTGGAGCTCCATCCTGGGGATTGCAGCCCCACATCATCCCCAGATCCATCGCTGGCTATCGGAGCCCCGTTCTGGGTGTTGCAGCCCTGTTATCCTTCACTGGGTATCAGAGCACCATGTCGGGCATCAAGGTCTCACACTGGGTGTCAGAGGGTGGCACTAGGTGCCGGAGCCCCACATCAACCCCATAATATGCATCGGGGCCCTGCACTGGGCATTGGAGCCCATGCTGGGGATCCTAGCTCCATATCAGCCCTGTATCCATCCCCAGGTGCCCGAGCCCCTTGTCGGGTGACACGGACCAGGCATCACTGCCCCTCGCCAGGTACCACTGGCCCCACACCGGGCATTGCCACCCACTTCAGGCATCATGCTGTCCCTGCTCCCCCTGCCCCATGCCCAGCCTGGATTTCTGTCAGACCCATTGGGGCTGACACCAGTGGAACAAAAAGGTCCCCTAGCTCCTTGATCCCGTTTCCTAACCCGGGAAGAGGATATTGCCTCCACCCTCCCTGGGAGCAGGATGGGGCCATGTTTAAAAAAACCTTTTTGTTTGTTTGTTTTCATTTCAAAAAAAATAAACTAAAAATGCTGGGGGGCATTTCTGACCAGAGGCTGAGTGGGGAGGAGGGGACCAGCCATATTTCTTCATCTCGGGGAAGCAAAATTCCCACAGCCAGCTTCAGTGCTGGGGTTTAGCCCTAGTCATTTTTGGGAGGCAAACGCTCTCTTCCTCCATCTCCTCCTCCTCCTCCTCCTCTTCCTCTCTTCATGCTGCAGACCCGTCCAGACAATGCTGTCATTGCCAAAGCAGGGGAGAGGGGATAAAAAAAAAAATAAAAGCCTTGCTGGGAAGGAGATTAACCCCTTCGAGGGGCAGTGGTGGCTCTGCAGCCGGACTCTGGCTCAGGGCTGGCAGAAAAGCTCCAGGGAAAAAATCCCAACTCTCCCCAGGGCAGAGGGATCCAGGGTTGGTGCAAAACTGAGCCGGGGTGATCAGCTCCCTCTCCCAAACGCCTTCACCCCAGGCAGCCCAGCTGAGTCCCACACTCCCAGGGGGGAGGTGGGGGCAGCCCCTGCCTCAGTTTCCCCATTCCCCTGCTGAGGCTTCAGAGGGGATAAGCCAGCCCAGAGCTGTCACCTCCCAGGGACGTGCCCAGCACCATCCGGATGCGGTTGGACTGGGAACCCCTCACCCGAGGAGACCGGGATGGAGTCAGTTTCATGTCATTTGAAGGTAGAAAAGATTAAAGAAAAATGATGAAAAAGGAGGAAATCCCCACCACACTGCAGATGGGCCTCAGCTCGTGCCCTGCACAGTGTGCCAGTGGCACCTAAGGGTGTGCTGTCCCCATCTCCCAGCCATGTGGGTGTTCTGGCATGGGCACTGGGGGACAAGTAACTCTCTGCCTGAAGAACTGCTGGCATTGAAGGGCAGTGATGTGCTTATGGTCCTATGGCTGGGCCCCCTGTGCTGGTCACAGGGCAAAGGGACCTTATTTTGGTGGTGGATGGCTATTCCAGCACCCCTTGGCCTGTGGTGGGGAGAATTTGTTTGTTGGTGACAGTCCCTAAGCTGGCTTCATTCCTGTTGCCTCTCCTTGTGTGCTCAGTGTCCCTGAGTGACCTTGGCATGTCCTTGTGCCCATTGTCCTCTTCCCCATCCTCCTCATGCCTGGCATCACAGGGGTTTGGGGGCATCACCCTGCTCCCTTCTACAGGGGAGCCTCACTTGCCCTGCTCAGGGTGGCCAAGGAAGGTGGCCCAGAGCCAGTGGCCCAGGAATGGTGGCCCAGTCCTCTGGCAATGACAGTCCCTGGGGACCCACAATGAGGGAGTCACTGCCACCAGTGTGAAGTGGCACCCTCAAACAGTTTCTTTGCTGACTCATGAGGAAATAGGGGCTTTCAGAGTCCCAGAAAATGCTGGGCTGGTCTCATGCTCCCTCAGTGCAAACTTGTCCCCAAAGCTGCCCCCAAGCCATAGTGCCCAGGGGGATGTGTGGCAATGTACACGTCCCAGCCTAGTGGCTGCCCTAGGGGAGTTTACAGATGCTCCCTCAGTGCAAACTTGTCCCCAAAGCTGCCCCCAAGCCATAGTGCCCAGGGGGATGTGTGGCAATGTACAGCCTGGTGGCTGCCCTAGGGGAGTTTACAGTTGCTTGTCACTGCCATCGGATGGTGAGACCAGGATAGCACCCGGATTTTGTCACTGGGACAACAGGACCAGGATTGACCTTGCTAGGATAGCAGCACCAGCATGGCTTCACCAGGATGATGACACCAGGACTGGTCCTACTGGAATGGCTTTGCTGGGATAGTAGCACTGGGACCAGCTTCACTGGAACAGCATTGGAATGGCCTTGCCAGGATGGTGGCACCTGGATAGCTTCACTGGATTGATGGCACCGGTACTGGCCATGCAAGGTGACACTGGGATGGCCTTGTCAAGACAGCACCAGGATTAATCTCACCAGGACAACATGGACTGGCCTTGCTGGGATGGTGACACTGGGATAGCCTGGCTGTATGGTGGATCAGGATCAGCCTTGTTGTGATGGCACCAGGATGGCCTTGCTGGGATGGCACTGCAGCTGGCATTACTGGGAGAGTCCTCACTGGAATGGCACCAGCATGGTCTACTGGGACTGGCTTCACTGGGAAACAGTGGCACTGAGATGGCCTTGCTGGGATGGTGGCAGCAGCACAGCCCTGGGATGGCCTCACTGGGATGGTGGCACTGGGACTGCCCTGAGATGACTTCACTGGAATGGTTGCACCAGGACAGCCCTGGAATAGCCTTGCCACAAGGGCAGTGGGAATGGCCTTGCACAGATGGCCCTGCCAGGAGTGGCCTCATTGGCACAGTACTGGGGTGGCCTCCCAAGCACCTGTGCCCTGTCCCTGTCCCCACATAACTGCCCCATTCAGGGCTTCAGGGACCCCAACCTGCCCTGTCGGTCCTTGGGCTCAGGGGAGGGGAGCACTGGGGCTCCTGGCTGTGCGATTGGAGCTCTCTGTGAGGTGAGTTTGGCCACCAGTGCTTTGGGGGGAAGCTGCAGCTGGGGGTGTCTCCTCTGCTGCTGGCCAGATTCTTAAAGATTCTTCATTTCATGCCCTCAATGAGGAAGAAATCACTCAAAATCCTGAGATCTCCATGGTCTATAAGTTTGGGTGGCCAGACTGGAAAGAGAAAAAATCAGGAGGGAAAAGAGTTGTGTTCAGCCTTTATTAGCCATCAGAGAAGCTACTGAGCTGCCCTGTCTCTCCCCTGGCTGGGGAAGCAGTGCAGGGGGTGAGGGTCCCTGTCTCTCACCATCGCCCTTCCTCCTTGCAGAGCTCCTACCCCATATGGGAGGATTTCAACTCGAAGGCCACCAAGCTGCACTCCCAGCTCAGGTGAGTGGCCAGAGGTGGGGTGGGACATGGGGGACCCCCCTCCTCGTTGGCACATCCCAGGTGTCCCACACCCACTGAGCTCCCCCCTCGCTCTCTCTGCCTCAGGACCACGGTGCTGGCCGCAGTTGCCTTCCTGGATGCCTTCCAGAAAGTGGCTGACATGGCCACCAACACCCGAGGTAGGGTCCTCTCTCCTGGGGGTGGGCCCAGGCTTGTCTGGGCAGGGGGACAGTGGTGAGTGTCCCCTGTGGGGTGTCCCCTGCCCACATTTCTTGGGTGGACTTCAAGCAGCAGCATCACCGTCCACAGAGAGATGTCCTTGATGTTCCCACACCAAGGTGGACCATTCCCTGGGAAGCAGCATTGAAAGGATGGAGTGGGGAGGGGGAAGGTGGTGGGCACCCATGTGGGTGCTGCTCCTCACCACCCATGGGTGCTTAGCCACATTTTCTGGTAGGGCTGGGACATTCAGGGGGCTCAGCCCCACGTCAGGGTCTCCTGCACCCATCTCAGCCCCCTGGGATGCAGAGTCCACCTTCCTTGTCCCTGGCACCCATCTGGGAAGTTCCCAGGGGGGTCCCAGCTGCTCCGGAGCTCTCCAGAGAAGGGGATTTAGTTAGAGGGAGATTCAGGAGTCCGAGCTTCACTGTTTTGGGGACAAACCCTAACTCACCAGGGAGGTGACTCAAGAGCCAAGGCTGCATGTGGGGTCCCCCATACTGTTGGGGAGTGAGGGGGAAGGATCCCCAGACCCTCTGCGGGTGCCTGCTGGCAACGAGGAGCCACTTCCCACCGCTTGGCTTCTGCCAAGCAGATGGTCCCGGGCTGGTTCGCAGACTGGCGGCATCCAGGCCATCTGGAGCCACGCAAGGAGGAGGAGGAGGAGGAGGAGGTGGAGGCAGCAGCTTGAGCCAGGATCAGCTTTGCCTCCAAACCCACTAGCCCACTGCACCAGGGGGATTAGGGCTTCTCCAGCTCCCTGTCATCCCGGGCAGTCAGAGCAAGGAGGAGGCACAGGAGCAATGCCAGGGACAGCTAGGGACCAGCACCACAGGAGTCAGTGTCACCCTGTAGTGCTGCTGTACCTGCAGGGCTTTTTGGGAGGGTGGACAGCAGAGCAGCATCATGGGGAAACTGAGGCACTGAGTGGGGGCTGGCTGCTGGCCTTGCACACAGTGCATGAGAATCGGATTAGAAGCAGCAGGAGCTGGGATAAGAGCATTAGGAGCTGGATTAGGAGACTACCCCAGTGTAGGAGAAGGCCGTGGCTCATGGGTTCCCCTATTTCCATAGCACTGGGAGACTGAGGGACATCCAAAACTTCTGTAAAGGGGTGGGAGGTTTTTTTGGAGGCTTTTTTAGTGGAGAGGAAGGCTGAATGTCACTCCTTAGTTTGCACCCAAGGATTTTTGATTTCCGTTTTCCGTGGGAATTGCCAGCAGCACTGCCACCACGTGGCCATCCTTAGGCTTCAGCGTTGGCAGCGGTTTCACCTGAAAAGGATGTTCCTGCTATCTGCTGCTGGCAAATATCCCCCCGAGGAGTTTGGACTCCCTTTTTATCCACTCGGGATTGTGCCTGGAGGTGTGGGACAGAGCTGACTGCCTGGAACTAAGCCAGGGTACCTCATTGCTTCCCTTCCCAGCACCAAATCTAAGACAAACCAGGAAAAAATGGCAGCGGGTTCTAATTTCAAAGCCTCCAGAGGCGATATTTAGTGTTTCACGTATTAGTTAGTGGATTATTTATTTATTTATTTATTTATTTTGTGGATTTATCATGGGGAAAAAACAAGCCACCTCCTTCCTAAAGTGTCCCCAGTGCCCAGTGCATCCCAGCACTGATCGTCCCTGTCACGAGCCACCCTCCTGCCACTGTACAAACTGGGCTGGGACTGGTGTGGGGGTGTTGGGGGGTGTCCCTGCCCCTTGTCAGCAGCGCCTTGTCCCCACCAGGTGCCACGAGGGACATCGGCTCGGCGCTGACCCGGATGTGCATGCGGCACCGCAGCATCGAGGCCAAGCTCCGGCAGTTCACCAAGTAAGTGGGACCAGGATCAGCTTTGCCTCCAAACCCACGGGTGTCGGTGACACGGCCTGGCCAGGCTGGTTCCCTCGCTGAAGAAGGGGATGCTGGCTGCTGGCTGGGCACGGCATGGGGGAATGGCTCCCCCCTGGCTCCGGCGCTCTCCCACACTCTCTGCTTCTCTCTCCCTGCTCCAGTGCCCTCATGGAGAGCCTGATAAACCCTTTGCAGGACAGGATTGAGGACTGGAAGAAAACTGCCAATCAGCTGGACAAGGACCATGCGAAAGGTACGAGGGGGGCAGGATGGATCTGTGCAGGGTGGCTGCGCTGCTGGGCAGGGGTCCCCTCTGACAGCACTTCTGCACCCCCAGAGTACAAGCGAGCACGCCATGAGATCAAGAAGAAGTCCTCTGACACCCTCAAGCTCCAGAAAAAGGCTCGCAAAGGTGAGAGGGGGTCTCCTGGGGGGTGCCCCCACCAGCCCCTCTGCAGCACCCCCAGCCAGGGCCGGTATCCTGGCTGTGGCACTGCCAACAGCGGGGTGGGCACTAGGGGGGTCCTGCTGCCCCCCTGTAGAAAGGGAGGTGCCAGCACGGCCCCGGGGGTGGCGGGGAGGCGGGGCATGCGCCCCAGCCTTCGGCCTCTTTTCACAAGTTTTCTCTGTCTCCTTCTCTCTTCCCTCCCCTCCACATCCTTCCTGTAGAGCTACTTGGTAAGTGAACCGCTGCCCCCCACCACCGGCCCCCTCTCTGCTTCCTCATCTACTCCCCCCAGTCTCCCCAGCCTCTGTCTGTCTGTCCGTCCATCCATCCGCTCCCTGTTCCCACCCTCACCCTGCTTTTAGCTTAGCTTAGCCTGCACCCCATGTCCTGAGGCGATGCCAGACTCACCGTGTGGCAGCCCAAGGGGTCCTCAGGTCCCAAGTGCCAGGGATGGGGATGGGGTGACAGAAAAGCCCCCTGCCCAGGGCTGCTGTGGGGTGAGGGTGCTCCTGGACCTTCCAGGGAATGGGCAGAGTGGGAGACCTGTGGTATGTGCTGGAGTGTGAGGATGGGGTGATGTCCCCAAGCTGGGGGAATGGCCTTGGCTTGGCAGTGGCACCGCCAGCAGACTGGGGAGGGTGTCAGGGGAGCCCAGTGCTGACAGTGCCCCCTCTCTCAGGGAAGGGGGACCTGCAGCCCCAGCTGGACAACGCGCTGCAGGATGTCAATGACATGTACCTGCTGCTGGAGGAGACGGAGAAGCAGGCGGTCCGCAAAGCCCTCATCGAGGAGCGGGGCCGCTTCTGCACCTTCATCACCTTCCTGCAGCCCGTGGTGGTGAGTGCTGGGGGCTGGGAGGGTCGAGGGTGGTTCCTTCTGCCCAGTGGGTGCTGATGCTCTCTCTTACCTGTCCTCAGAACGGGGAGCTCACCATGCTGGGAGAGATCACCCACCTGCAGGGCATCATCGAGGATCTGGTGGTGCTCACCGCTGAGCCACACAAGTTGCCCCCCGCCAGTGAGCAGGTCAGTAGGGGCGAGCCAGGGGTCAGGGGAGCAGGGGCCATCTTTGGGGGGACTGAGACCCCATCTTTCCTGCAGGTGATCAAGGACCTGAAGGGCTCTGACTACAGCTGGTCCTACCAGACGCCCCCATCCTCACCCAGCAGCTCCAGCTCTCGCAAGTCCAGCATGTGCAGGTATGGTGAGGTGGGCTCCACACCCAACCACAGCCAGGAAATCCAGCCCTCTTCGTTAACCTCAGTGGGTTAATGATGCTTACGGCCTTTGGGGATGCTCACAAGGTGCATGTCCACCTTCTCATGTCCGTATGGGCAGGTGGCTCCCATTATTATGGAGGAATTGGTCTTGGCACACTGGGCAGGGCTGGTGGACCTATGGGGCAGGATGGGGGCCCGACACATGCCCTGTCCTGGGGTCTGGGGATGATGTGTGCTGTGCATGGGTGTCTGGGGGCAAGCATACCACCTCTGTCATGTCCCCCAGCCTGTTCCCTGCCGCAGGGCCACCCCAGAAGGCAAAGGGACACCCCCAGGATGACTACATGCCTCAGTTTCCCCATGTTGGGATGTGTGGCAGGGCGCTGGCCATCCTGCCACCTCCGAACCTTTGTCTTAAATTCTCTTTTCCTTCCTTTGTCCTCCCCACCGGCGTGTCCCCGTCCCCCCGGCGCCCCCCCAGCAGCGTTAGCAGTGCCAAGGGTGGCATGGCGTGGCCCGGCGGGGCTCAGACCTGCTCACCCAGTTCCACCTATCGCTACCGCAGCCTGGCGCAGCCCCCCGCCGCCGCCACCCGCCTCTCCAGCGTCTCCTCCCACGACTCCGGCTTCATCTCCCAGGACGCCGCTTATTCCAAACCGCCTTCCCCCATGCCCTCGGACATCACCAGCCAGGTACAGGGAGGGTGGTCCGTGCTGCCAACCTCCGTGCCTCAGTTTCCCCTTCCATAGAATGGGTGGGTGGTGATGGGTGCAAGGCAAGGGTCCAGTGCAGAGGTGATGAGACCCACCCTCAGAACTATTTCCATCTGTGTTGGCATCACGGGAAATAAATATTGGGAATATTGATGGTGCCTGCCATAATTGTGGGCATCCTGGGCCACACGGCAGAGAAACCCTATCAATTAATTCCTCCAGGGATGAGGCACAGATATCCCTCTCCCTGTGCCAGGAGAACAAGGTGTTTCCCAATCACCACAGCCCCGTAATACCCAGTTTGTGCCCCCCTCCAGGCAGCATGAAGCAAAGCTTCCCCTTCATGCTGCACCATCCCCAGTGCCAAGGATGCTTCGGGATCCCCAGGGAGTTGCCATTCCTGTCTGTCCATGCTAACCTGGCATCACCAACCCAGCAAGGGCCCCACTCCCCGAAATACCTCTTGGCTCTGCATGGCTTGGGGTGAGAAGGGGGAAGGGTTGGGGCAGTGCATCATCCCAGTTCTTGACCCTGCTGCCAAGGTCACATCCTGCTCGCCATCCTGCAGCCACAGCCAGAGGGGAGGAGGGCTGGGGGCCTCGCTCAGCCAGGGAGCTGTGGGCGCTGCTCTAACCGGGGTCATGGCTCTGGCTTTGCTTGCTAACTGCCTCTTCTCTCACCTTCCGGCTCTCGGCTCGTCACGGCACAGCAGAAGTCCTCCAGCTCGGCGTCCTCAGAGGCATCCGAAACCTGCCAGTCAGTTAGCGAGTGCAGCTCCCCCACCTCGGTTAGTCCTTGCCGTCCCACCAGGGTTCCATTTCACACGTGGTTCCCCCTCACTTCACGGGTTCAGCCCCCAGACCCTCCCCTCCCTTCCCGCATGGGGCAGAGCATCCTGAGCGGCACCCGTGGCTTGACTCGGGGGACATCAGCTTGAGACTTCCTGCCACACTCCCGGTCCCAGTGTCACCAGCATGAACCGCATGCCTTGCCCGTTGCAGGACTGGTCCAAGGCCAGCCCCTATGACCAGCCGGTGGTCCCTACCCTGCAGCGGCGCAAGGACCGCGTGGAGCACCTGCGGGAAGCCGAGATGGGCTCTCCTGCTGGGGGGTACCCGGGCATCGGAGGCGAGGACGCTCCCAGGCCCCGGATGTCACCGGCTACAATTGCTGCCAAGGTACCAGCTGTGGCAGGGAGGGCACAGAGGTGGGGGCTCCTGGGGACTCCCAGAGGAGGAAGCAGGGTGCTGACAGTGCCCTTTGCCCCAGCAGCATGGGGAGGAGGTGTCCCCTGCCGCCAGCGACCTGGCCATGGTCTTGACCCGTGGGCTGAGCTTGGAGCACCAGAAGAGCAGCCGGGACTCGCTGCAGTACTCCAGTGGCTACAGCACGCAGACCACCACCCCCTCCTGCTCTGAGGACACCATCCCTTCCCAAGGTACTGGCACTGGGGATACCTGGGACCACCTGAAATGGCACTTAGAGTGGGGAAGGTCACAACAGAGGTTTTGGTGATCCTGGGGCACAGCTGTGTGCTCTGGGTGTCAGAGCATCAGGCTACAGTCATGCTGTGTAGGGTCTGGTGCAACAAATAACCACAGCTTTTCCTGGTTATTTTGGTGTTAGCTGGGGCTCGGTGGGTGCAGTTGTGCCAGGAAGTGCCATGACAGGTGATGTGGTGATGTGTCTGTGCACAGAGGTTGAGTACAGGTGGAGATAGTGGCAGATGGTAGGTGATGACAACAGAGTCTGTAGTTGGAGATCAAATAACCACATCTGTTATGATGTTGGCATGATGATAGCTGAGCCAGTTATGAGCATGTGGTGGTGACAGTGGAGATTGGCTGTGATTGGGATGGTTGTGATGGTGACAGTTGGGTTTGGCTGTGATTTCAGTGTAATGGCTGGGGTGACTGTGCTTTCCCTCCAGTGGTGATGTTTGTGTTTGATGGTGAGCATGTTGTGCCAGCAATGACTGGGACAGTAGTGGTTGTATGACGATCACGGTAGTTGAATTTGGTTGTTGTTGTGCTGTGCTGGAAGTGGCTGGGGCTGGCTTTAATGACATGGCTGAGCTTGGCTACCCGCTGCCCCCCAGCCACGCTGATGGTGCTGCTCCCTCCCCAGGCTCCGACTACGACTGCTACTCGGTGAACGGCGACGTGGAGTGTGACCCCCAGAGCGATTTCGACAAGTCCTCCACCATCCCACGCAACAGCAACATCGCCCAGAACTACCGGCGGATGATCCAGACCAAGCGTCCCGCCTCCACCGCCGGGCTGCCCAGCGGCACCAACCTGCCGGCCGGCACCACCCCGGGGGTGGCCACCATCCGCCGCACGCCCTCCACCAAGCCCTCGGTCCGCCGCACACTCTCCAACGCCGGCCCCATCCCCATCCGACCCCCCATCGTCCCCGTGAAGACCCCCACGGTGCCCGACTCCCCTGGCTATGCCGGCCCTACACGGGTGGGCAGCGAGGAGTGCGTCTTCTATGCTGATGATGCCTCTCCAAACCCCCTGGATTTTGCCAAAGCTTCGCCCAAGCGGCTGAGCCTTCCCAACACCGCCTGGGGTGGCGGTGCCATGGAGATCTCTGTCTACCCCGGGGCCGGCCAGCACCTCTCCGCTGAGGAAGAGGAGGACCAGCAGTTGGCTGCCAACCGGCACAGTTTGGTGGAGAAGATTGGGGAGCTGGTGGCCGGCGCCCACGCCCTGGGGGAAGGCCAGTTCCCCTTCCCCACCGCCCTCGTGGGGTCCGGCCCCAGCGAGGAGACCCCCGCGCCGCCCCCCGCGGCCTCCATGGACCCCCCGGCCGAAGACATGCTGGTGGCCATCCGGCGCGGGGTGCGCCTGCGCAGGACCGTCACCAATGACAGGTCGGCCCCGCGGATATCGTGATGATGCCCCGTGCCCGCCGTGGCCCATGGACCCCCGGGACAGCCCTGCCTCCCCAGGAGCCCCCACCCGCCGGCACCCGCTGCCCTCCCCTCCTGGTGCCCCCTGCTTCCTGCCCTCCTGTCTCCTCCTGCCCTGCCCTCTCCCTGCATCCCTCCTTCACTTGCTCTCTCTTTGGTCCTCTTTCTCCTCTTTTTCTCCCCTTCTTTTTCCTATTTTTTTCCCTTGGCTTTTTTCTTCTGTTCTTGTATGTCACTTTTCCTTCTCTTTTCTTATTTTCTTCATTTTCCCATTTTTCTTCTTTTCCTCTTCTTGTCCTCTTTTTCTTTTCCTTTCTTTTTAACAATTTTTTTTCCCTTTCTTTTTAACTCTTTTTCTTTTAATTTCTTTTAAACTCTTTTTCTCCTCCCTTCTATTTTCCTCTTTTTTGTCCTTTCCTTTTTTTCAGCTCTTTCCCTTTGTTTCTCTCTTCCCGTTCCCCTCTCGCTTTCCCTCCCTCTCCTCTCTGTTTTCTGTCCCTCGGGCGCAGGCGGGTGGCCCCAGCCGCAGCAGGAGAGGATGGTGCCAGCAGGGCTGTGGCAGCCGTGGAGCACCAGGAGCACCAGGAGTGGGGGGCCCTGGCCCCATTCCCCCCAGCTGCCTGCTTGGGGCCAGGACAGCTCAGCCTCATTCCAGGGGGGCAGAAGAAACGGGCTGGGGGTGCAGGGGGGAAGAAGAAGTGGGGGACATGTGAGAGGGTGGGGGGGTGGGGGTAGAGGCACTGCAATCCCCTCCGCCTTGTGGGGACACCAGGGTGCAGGGACTGAGGATGCTGAACCTCCACTTCGCCCTCCCTCACAAGGATCACTTGGGACCCCCTGCAAACCCCCTCCCCCTGGCTCGGCACCCACAGACCCCGCTCGGAGGTGGGTCAGGCACGGCAGGTTTGACTCAGACCCCCAGGCAAAGCAGCTTTCTGCCGGCGGCTGGAGGAAAGCACAACCCGCGGCCCCTGCTGTACATAGCCCCGCTGTCTGTCGCATCGCAGCCCCTCAGCCCGCCCCCTTAGGAATAACAATTTAGTTCTCCCCCTTCCCCTTCTCCTGCCCAGAACCGCTGAGGCCAAGTGACAAATGTTTGGGTTTGAGGGAGGGGGGGTCTCTTATTTTGTACAGAAAACAAAAATTCTTTGGAAAAGTAAAAAAAACTGACCTGTCTTTCGACTGAAGTAACTTTTCTGGTGCTGTTGTTAACTTGGTCCTTATTCTTTTCTCTTTTTTTAATTTATTTTTCCTCCTCGTGTTCCCGCCTCTGCCGCCGCTTCCCCTCTCCCTGTCCCTCTGCCACGTTTCTTTCTCTTTCTTTCATTCCGTCTTCTCTTTTAATTTTTTTTTTTCTGGTGGTAATTCCCCTCTTTCCCCCCCTCCCCCATTTTCCATAGTCACTGCTACAAGTAACGAATGCACTGTGAAGATTCCAGTATTAATAAAGGTTGTACTGTAATTAATAGCCTTGCCTGTGCTCCTGTGGGTTTTCTGGTTCTCTGGGATCACCCCAGTAATGGGGAACAGGCGAGAAGGTACCACCACCCCTTTGGGTTCCCATGGCTTGAGGGGGTGGGTGTTCTGGGGTATGGAGGAGTGCAGCAACATGGTCAAGCTGATGGATGACCCTGGGATGCAGAAGAACATCCTGCTGCCCGTGCCCTCCAGAAGAGGGGGTGCAGGCGGTGCCCCCCACCTCCGCCCATCCCAGCAGCGTTCCCGCCTCCCGGATTATCGAGGCCGATTGCCAAAGCTCGCCAGGGCAGCACAACCGGCTGTGAGAGCAGAGGGGATGGAGGGGCTCAGCGTGGGCAGTGTCCTGCTGACCGGCTGCGACGGGGGGCTGGGCCTGGGGCTGCTGAAGGGGCTGCTGGAGCAGCCCAGCCCACCCCGGCACATCTTCGCTGCTTGCCTGGACCCCCAGGGCAAGGTAGGGAGGGCACGGGCACAGGGGGGACAGGAGGGAGTCAGCGTTGGGATGGGTGCCTGGGGATGCCACAGCCAGCCCCACCTGAAATTGGGGTGCTGAGTGTCAGCATCCTGAATGGTGAATGGTGTGGAAAAATACATGTATATATGTAGGTGTGTGTGTGTACACACACACACACACACACGCATATATATATATATACATATAAAAACATATATATGTATTTTTCCACACCATTCATATATGAATAATAATATATAAATAAATATAGAATAAATAAATATATAAATATATATATATAAATACACATATATGTATTAAATATGATAAGTACCAGTGTTTGTATTGAATATGCATGTATTTATTTTGCCTCTCTTGGCACAGGTGTGTGCGTGGTGGGGAGCACAGGGGGGGTTGCTGGGAGCGCAGGGGGGGTTGCTGGGGGCGCAGGGGGGGTTGCTGGGAGCACAGGGGGGTTGCTGGCAGCCCTGGTGCCGGGGGCATGGCTGCGGGGAGCTTTGGAGCCGCCGGGCTCAGCCAGGAGCAGAGCAGCAGCGACCCGCCCCAAATTGCTCCCTTGCTGGGGGCGCAGGGGGGTTGCTGGCAGCCCCGGTGCCGGGGGCATGGCTGCGGGGAGATTTGGCTGAGCGGAGCAGCAGCGACCCGCCCCAAATTGCTCCCCTGATCTTACTGTGACCTGCCGGCTGTGACACGAAGGGCCACCCTCTTCCCACCCCGGCACGGGGCAGCCCCCCATTTCGTGAGCTTCCCCACATGACCCCCTCCCCCGTTTTTCCACCTAGGCTGTTAACGAGGTGGCTTTGGGCTTTCCCAACGTCGTGATCCTGCCTTTAGGTAAGTGCTGGGGCGGGAAAGGGATGAAGCTTCTCAGGATTTAATTGCAGCCGTGGGTGGCTCCAGGAAATGTCACCAAGCAGGTGGGTCCCTTGGTTTGGCTTAGCTCAACCAGGTCACTGATGGGACCAGGAGGATGCTCAGTGCCTGGGAGTTCCCTCCTGCCACGTCCTACAGCACCTTGCCAGGATCAGGGCCACCAGCCTGTCCCCAAACCCTCCTGTCCCCTTGCAGATGTGACAGACCCCAACAGCATCAAGGCAGCAGTCAGGAAGGTGCGGGCAGAGGTGGGAAGCGCTGGCCTCAACCTCCTGATCAACAACACGGGCACCACGCGCCGCAGCACCTTGGCCACCGAGACAGCAGAGAACATGAGCCTCGTCTACACCACCAACACCATCGGGCCCCTGCAGACAAGCCAGGTGAGGACACGGGCCAGCCCTGTCCCAAACACTGGCAATAGGGAGGAGGAGGATGGTGGTGCCTGAGGTCCCATCCCCTGCAGGCCTTCCTGCCCCTGCTGAAGGAGGCGGCTGAGGCCGAAGGGCAGCGTGAGATGAGCTGCAGCAGAGCTGCCATCATCAACATCTCCAGCATCCTGGGCTCCATCGAGGTTGCAGAGGCTTGGGAGGAGAGGCAGGACATCTGTTACCGCTGCAGCAAGGTACTGCCCCTGGGGGATGGGAGGAGTTGGGGGTCATCTCCTCTGGGGTTCCCCCAAGCCCTGGCATTGCCAGATCACGATGCTAAGGAGGGGAATTTGTCCTCCCAGGCTGCTCTGAACATGCTCACCAAGTGCCTGGCCCTGGAGTACGGGAGCAGAGGGATCCTCTGCGTGTCTGTGGATCCTGGACATGTGACACCTCCCTTGGAACAGGGGATGGTGAGTGATGGGAGGCGCATGGAGTCCTAGCTCAGCAAGGTTCCACAGGCATCCATTCCTGGGGGATCCTTTCCCTGGAACATCCCTTCCTGAGGCCATCCCTTCCCAAGGCCACACCTTCCCATGAGCATCCCTTCTCAGGGTCATCCTTTCACAAAGAATTCCCTTCCCACAGACATCTCTTCCTATGGGCACATCCCTTCTTCACAGGGTATTTCTTCCCATGGACATCCCTTTCCCATGAACATCCCTTCCTGAGGCATCCTTGACCATGGACATCCCTTCCCTGGGCACCCACATCCATGCAGTCCCTTTGTCCCACAGAGGCTGTGTCACCACAGCAAGGGGACAATTCCAGGCGCTCCCCCCAGACTATCCAATTTCTCCTATTTTTATTTCCTTTCCCATCCCGATGGTGTGTCAGCAGAGGGCACCCCGGTCCTGCACTCAGCTGTCCCTTACCCTGCTCTGGCTGTCCCTTACCCTGCTCTGGCTGACATCCCTCTTTTAATTAGGGATGAAGAAATTAACCTCCATCCTTACAGCACTCAAATGAGGGACAATCAATTTGTACAAAGCCACATTCCTTGGCTGCTGGAGCATCTCCAACTGCTCCCAAACCAACCCAGCCAGAGCTGGCATTCCACCATACCCTGGGTGGGATTGGGGGTGTTGGGATGGAGAATCTTGGCTCACTTTTTCCCTTGCCCTTGGGTGTGACAGGGCCCGGTGACGCTGGAGGAGAGCGTGCGGGGCGTCCTGCAGCTGCTGGCCCAGCTCTCAGCCACCAGCAATGGCACCTTCTGGGACTGGAGAGGGCAGAGGCTGCCCTGGTGAGAGCAGCATCTGCCCACTGAACTTAAATAATTAATTAAAGTGAATTAATTGCCATTTCCAGGGGGGGGGGGGGGGGGGGGTAGGATGGGCAGAGGAATAAAAACAGGGATGCACATGTTGGGGGATGAGAGTTGGATTTGCTGCCCCCCTGGCCTGGGATGGTGATTTGTGCCAGGGCAGCATAAGGAAGGATGCTCCAAGTGTGTTCCTGAATCCAAGGCATCCCCTGGGGCCAGGAGAATGCCCTGGCTATCCTCACTCCAGGGCCATAAGCCATACTGCTCATGGGGACATCCCAGACAGGCCCCAAACTCAGCCCTTCTCCTGCTGGGCCTGCCCACCCCAAAACCAGCTGGCCTTTCCATGCCCACCCCAAAGACGCTGCCAGGCGTTTTTCTTGCTGGTTCAAGGCCAGCAAAGGTTCTTCCTGTTCCAGCAGCTGGAGGCTTTCACAGCAGGAGATGGCCCAAGTCTCAGCACATGCCTAAAGATGAGTTTTGAGACCTGGGCAGGGCGTCCTGGGCTGACCTTCCTCCATGGTACACCAGGAGATAATGTAAACAAGCTCCCATTCTTGATCCTGTGAGTGCTTTCCTGTAGAGGCTCTCAGCTGTCATTTTTGAAGCCATCTCTCAAAAGAGGGATCAGAAGAAAATGCACAATATCTCAAGTGGGCTTGACATGCAGCCCATTGCTGTGGGGATGCTCTGGGAAGCTTGGTAGGGGTCGTTTTGCAGGGACAGCTTCAGTTTCTCCACAGTGGAGGAGGATGAAGGATCATTCCCACTTTTGACACGAGGGAGTGGGAGGTTGGGCTCAGCTCCAAGGGCTGAGGCAGCCCAGGTAGGTCCCTGGACCACACAGGGACTCAGTTAAAGCCAGCAGGGATGGGAGAGAGGGTCCCTTAAGTTAAAGCTCTTATCAAGCAGTGGATCTCTTGGTGGGTTTTATATGAGCTCTGCGTGGGCTTTATATAAACAGGAATCACCACTAAGCATGAAGGGAGGAGGAAAAGGGGGAGGAGGAGGAGAAGGGAGACTCCTCCACTCATGCTGCAGTGCCCATTGACTCATGAGCCTAAGCCATGAATACACCAATTAAGGTCTCTAATAGCTGATGAGGGTAATTAACTGAGCTGTAAAGGGGGGAGGCAGTCAGGCAGCCCCAGTGCCTCCAGTGTGCCGCCTGCACCACACCACCAAGCACAACAAACCAATCCAGATGTTTCCTTGCTGGGGTCACCCAGCTGTGACAGGCCACCCACATCCAGCACACAAACACTGTCCGCTCTTGGATGGGGCAGCACCCCCCAGACCTGTGCAGGCCTGATTGCCCTGGGCCTCACTGCCACCGAGCCAAAAAGACCCTTGTCACTGCCACCAAAGCAGAAACCCTCACTGTCAGTGAGCCATGGACTGTCACTGCCCATGAGGCAGGGTCCCGCTCTGCCACCAAGTCCCCCGGGGATCACCAATGTGCCCTGGCTTTGTTCCACCGACAATGACACTCCTCACAGCCACACAGGGGTAAAGATGTGCCAGAGAGTTGTGTAATCCCTCCAGGCACCCAGGGGAATCCCCATGGTCCCCCAAGAGACACTGGGCGCTAAAAAGTTCAGCTGTTGCATTGGCCGGGAATCGAACCCGGGCCTCCCGCGTGGCAGGCGAGAATTCTACCACTGAACCACCAATGCCAGATGTGCTGAGCGTCTGAACCCTCCCCACACGGCCCCAGCATCCCAAATCCAGCAGAGTGAATGCAACGCGGGCAGGCACTGCTGGCTGTGAGCACAACACACACACAGACACTCACAAGGGGCACCCCAACCCCCAGCTCTGATACCGCGGCTCCAGACCATGGAAGAGCCTCTTCTGCTGCCTCACCAGCAAGGAGGACATGTCAGCAGCCCTCAGAGTTAGCCCTCTCATGAGACAGCCCAGCAAAGCTCCCTCTCTCCACAGAGGGGTTGCAGAACCGTCCGGGGCACAGGACAACCCAGCCACACTTGGGCTTCACACTGGTCACCCAGCTGTGACAGGCCACCCACATCCAGCACACAAAAACCTCTGCCTTGGCGTGCAGCAGCATCTCCCAGCCACAAGTAACCCATGGCTGCATGGAGCCCAAGTCAGGTGGAGAGGCTGGGGGCTCCAGAGTTGAAAGTCAGGAAGGACACGGGGCTGCACTGACGAGGAACCAAACCCTGGCTTTTGAGGGGGAGCACAATAATCATCCCACTGAACCACACATGCCAGATGTGGAACTGCCCACAGCTGCCATCTGCCTCCATGGCCTGGGCACCCTTGACATGAACCAGCACCTCCCACTGCTCCTAAGCCAGGGACCTTCACTGACATCTACATAGCACCCCTTGCTGTCATTGAGCCAGTGTCCCTCCCTGCCACCCAGCCGAGCTGGGTCATTCACCAAACCATCTCCTCTTACTGCTCTCCGGTGCCACCAGGCCAATACTCACCGCAGGCAGAGCTGCTGCTGCCACCCCGGGGCCTGAGCACCCGCACAAACTACACAGTCGACCCCGCGGGGGGATGCAGAGGAAGCACTTCTACAGAGATGCCCAAAGGAGCACCCACGGGAGCACCCCTGCACTATCCATCCCATGGACACCCTGGCAGCCGCCCCCAAGGGACAGCGGGGTGCAAAAGATTCAGCTGTTGCATTGGCCGGGAATCGAACCCGGGCCTCCCGCGTGGCAGGCGAGAATTCTACCACTGAACCACCAATGCCAGATGTGCACAACCTCCCGGCCCTCCCCCCCCACACTCCCAAACCCTGCGGGGTGCGAGCAGTGCCCACAGGCCCTCGCAGCTCTCAACGCCCCCACAAATCACCCCAGCACAGCTCTGACAGCGCACCTCCAGACCGTGGAACACCCCTCTGCTGCCCCACATCGCCTACAGCAAGGAGGGCCTCTCAGCAGCCCTCAGAGTTAACAACCCAGCAAAGCTCCCTCTCTCCACAGAGGGGCTGCAGAACCTGCCCCGTGCCACAGGACAACCCAGCCACACTTGGGGCTCACATCGGTCACCCAGCTGTGGCAGGCCACCCACATCCAGCACACAAACGCAGCTGTCTCGGGGTGCAGCAGCTCCATCGAGGCAGCAGAATCTTAGGCAGAGAGGCAGAACCATCAGCGGGAAAACAGATGAATTCACGGGCACATTCTGCCTGATCCCCCGCAACCGCCGGCCCTAGTAGTGCCACCCCGTGAGGGAGGTCGGTGTGTGTGACAGTCCCATTCTCCCCTCCCCGGCTGAGCAGGTGCCCCGAGGGGGACGGGTTGCAGGCAAGAAAAAATACAGCTGTTGCATTGGCCGGGAATCGAACCCGGGCCTCCCGCGTGGCAGGCGAGAATTCTACCACTGAACCACCAATGCCAGATGTGCAGTACGACTGAGGCGCTGCCCCAGCACCCCGCACCCCGCTCCCAACTTCTGTCCTTGGATCCTGTTCCTGTCAGACCCTCCAGAGAATCCCCTCGCAGGGAAAACATCCATGCCCGTGTTGTCCCCTCCCGGTGCTCGTGGCTCAGTGCGTGCCCCCCAGCACAGGAGTGCGAGACGTGCGGCTGGGCTGGGGTGCCGGGGGGATCCTCACCTGCCGGTACTTGCTGTACTCCTCGCCCAGGGCATCAAAGAGCTGGCAGAGCTCCTGGGTGTACTTCCAGGATGGGTGCTTCTCTGGCAGCACCTCACGGATCCGCAGCACGGCCTGGGAGCTGACATGGAACCAGAGGTACCGCAGCGCTGCCTCCGACACGGTCCCGTTGCGCTGAAGGGCAAGAGGGTGAGAGCCAGGCAGCCCCCGTGGGTCCCTGAGTGCTCCCATCATGGGACTCTCCCCTGCCACCCTCTTACCAGGCGGGTGATGTTGGAAGGCCTCAGCACCTCTTCATACTGGACCTGGACTGTGTAGTCGATGGGAAAGTAATGTTTCTGGAAAGGCAAGGAAGAGCATGGGGGCTGGCAAGGGGCAAAGCAATGGGCACATCCTTGCCAGCCTCAGCACGACACCGGGGAGCAGGTGCAAAAGCCCTTTGACGTGGTCAGCCCCCAGCAGAAGTAGCCCTGGGCACAATTTGGTATAAATTGTCCCTGGTAAAAAACACAGCACTCAGCACCTGGCCGCTGTAGACCAGTGGGTGCTGCCCCCCACCCATGACCCCCTGGAGCAAATTGGGGCCCTGCAGTGCCACATGTCCCCCCCACCTCCCAAAGCTGGGGTTACCATGTACTGCAGGCGCATCTCATACTGCAGCTTGTCCTGGAGCAGGCGGGTGAGCTCGCATTCGCCCGGCGCCGCGGCCTCCAGCCCCAGCACGGCCAGGACACCTGGGCAGCCAAAGCCAGTGGCATCAGCCCCCTCAGGGACACCCACTGAGGTGACTCCTGAGGCCAACCCCCGTCCCCCAGCAGTACTCACATAGGACGGCAGCGTAGCCCTGCTGCATGTTGATGGTGGCCGTCAGTGGAGCCCCAGGCTGTGCCTACATGGCTGGGGCTCACCGGGAGCCTCCAGGGCAATGGCGTGGATGGTGTGGGGACAAGGGACAGGTGTAGGCTCAGGGCACTGGCTGCTCTCCGGTAGCCCCGGGCAGTTGTTCCCTGCCATGGATGGGGGGTTAGTCCCCCTTCCCGGCAGTCCCCGCTGGCTTCTCCTCTCCAGCTGGTGGCAGGGAGGCAGCAGGTCCCGGGGCCGTCACAGGGTGTTGGCAGGGATGTGTTTGCAGGGGTGCAGGAGCACCCCCGGACTGCAAGAGGGAATCTGGGGGAAGAGAGCCCCGGCTGCAGCCCTAGGGTAGGCAGGCGCCCAGGCTGCAGCCCCCAGGCAGGACATCTGCTCCGAGCCCCGGGGACCACGGGGAGGGGACAGCCCCGCGTGAGCCTCGGGTGGCCAAAATACTGTGGGTGGCCGTGGAGCCGTGTATGCCTATAATATCCCGCTTGGGGCAGGGCTACCAGGGCTTCCCTGATGACACCCTCCGGGGATTTCCAGGGAAGGAAGGGGATAGACCCAGCCCCGTTATCCCAGCGGTGACTAAGTCCAGCCTCAGCCGAGGAACGCTGGGGGACGGGGCTGGTGAAATGGCCAAGCCACCGCATGCTGGGTCCCCACACAGAGGTGTCTGTCCCTACACCCCTGTGAAGGGGGCTCTGCCATGCCCCCGCTCTGTGGAAGGAGACCACAGCATGTCCTGGTGCCACATGTTCCACAGCGCGTCCCCTTGCGAAGGAGGGTGTGCTGTATCCATGCCACATCCCAGCACAGAAGTGGCCCCATCTGCGCCCCCACACCATGTCCCGGTGCCAGGGGAGCCACGCTGTGTCCCCACGCGATGCCATGTCCCAAGGGAAAGCAGCCGTGCCGTGTACCGTGCCGTGCCCCCGCGCAAAGGCGCCGTGCGCTGTCCCAGCTCGAAGGGGTGCCACCCACAATGCCCGGTGAAGGGACCTCTGCGCCGTGTCCCCAGGCAAACACGGCCGGGTCGCGGGGTGTGCGTGTCCCGTGCCGCGTCCCCACGCGGGGCCGTGGGTGCCCGGCCGCCCCCCGCGCCCCCCGCCGAGGCTCCGCGGACCCAGGGGCGGCGGCCGGGGGCCGGGCGGGGAGTGGGGACCGAGCGACCGCCCCGCATGGCCCGGGGAGAGTCCGGCCCCGCTCCGCCGCGGGCGCTCGGCTACCCCAGGCGGGTGGGTGTCCCCGGGGTAGGGAGCGAGAGCGGGAGGTGTCCCCAGGCTACGCAGACAGCCCAGGCTGGGGTGTCCCCAGGGTGCTTGGCTGACCCTCGAGAGTATCTCCGTGTTCCAGGCAGGTGTCCCCGGGAGTGCTCAGCGAGCCCAAGCTGGGCGTCCCGGGATGCTCAGCTGCTCAGTTCACCTAGCCTAGGTACCCCCTGGTGCGCTCAGCTCATCCAGCTGCGCATCCCCAGGGTGTTTGGCTCATCCTGCTGGGTCCCTCCCTGCTCCTTGGGGTACTTTGCTGCACCAGACCCTGCGTGCTGGTCTAGCTATGGTGCAGGCCTCCTCCACTCCTCAGGGTGCTGAGCTGTCCCAGTCAAGTGCCCACATAGCCCCTGGGGTGCCCAGCTGACTACTCTGGACAGCCAGAGGCTCTTCAGGGTGTTCTGCTCTGCCAGCACTGGCACCTCTAGGATGCTGGGCTTTCCTGGCTGGGTGTCTCAGGGCACTTTCTGGGCTGAGCACCCATGGGCACGTTTGGGACAATCGAAGTGGGAGTCAGCCAATGCCTTCCCAGCATGTGCCCGGGGAAGGGCTGCACTGCAGCACTAATCCCAGAGGGGCTGAGGTATTCTAAACTGGCTCCAGGCCAGCAGGACTCTGCTCCCTCTGGCCCAACCCCACGTCATCTTCTCAGGATGCTTCAGGGCTGAGCTCCTGCCAGGAGCAGGGGCCAAGGGACATGGGACATTGTCCTCCCCCACATCATCCTGAAGAGCCCCTTGGAAGAGCCACTGTGTCTGTGCTCAGGGCTGCTGAGCATCCAAAGGGTCAGCAAGAAACATCGGCTATCAAAGAGTGGGTCAGTGCTCCCAGGGAAACGCGTGGGAAGGAATGCACTTCTGCCTGTGAGAGCGCACTGGGATTCCCCTGGCACGGAGTCAGGGCCACTGCCGTGCTCCTGCCAAGCTTCCCCTGCTCCTGGCCAGTCTCAGGCACGGCGCTTGCCTCCCTCCCAGCACTCGTCGGGGGCGAGATGCTCAGCTCTAAGCAGGGAAGGAGCCGCTCCATCTCAGGTGTCCGCAGGGATTTTGCCCGCAGCTGCTGCAGTCGCCGGAGGAAGCCATTTAATAGCATTCCCTGCCCACGTATTCATCAGCCTGGCAGCCGGGAAGGGGCGAGGGAGAGAAGAGAAAGTGCGGAACTGCGCAGCACCGTGCTGGGGGCGGTTTGCTCTCCCTGGCCGCTCCGGGGCTGGAAATCAGTGCTGGGATGAGCCCAAGGCAAACAGCTTCCCGTGCACGGCCCCGGGAGCTCTGCACCCACACAGCAGCAGGACTCCGAGCCCCTGCGGCTGCAGGAGGGAGCCTGCTCCAAGAGAAACCTTCCTTGTCACAGTGAAGAGGATCTGGGGACTCAGGCAGCTCCCCACAGGCCCCCAGCTCCTGATGGCTAGGAATGGGTCCCCCCAAGGCTTTGCCTTTTACTGGAGGCAGGTTATTCACCGGGTACAGCCAAGCAAGTAAAACCTTGTGCTTGGAACCAGTTTGGGAACATCTCAAGACATGCCTCCCCTCCCCAGCTTTCACTTTCAGAACACCAACAAATACCAAGGCCCACTGGAGCTCTGCTGGAAGTGCCCTCTGACCAAAGCATTGCTCCCTCAGGGAGGACAGGGAGCACAGGGTGAGCACTTTATGGCAAGCCAGAAGCTGGACCCTACAAAGCTCAGCTCCCCTTCACCCCTTCCTTGACACAGCTGCCCCCACTCAGGCCGGGGAAGGAGCACAAAGTCCTTTGCTCTGCCAGCAGAGGATGGGTGGGGCTGTCAGAGCCAAAGGGTGCAGCCCAGCCTTGTAAGCCCCTGCCAACGCAGGCCTGCGAGGCTGAAACAAGGCAGGAGGGGAGAGGAGGGTGCAAAGGACAGGGCAGGAGGGTGTGTTTGCCCTCACCCCACTCAGTACATGCACCAGAGAATGTGAAAGCTGTTCAAAGGGAACACAGGCATCAAGGACCACCTGTCTCTCCAAGCTTCAGGTGGGGAGCAGCATCCTTACTGGGATGTCATAGGCTATCAGTCCCCACCAGCAGGGAGTAAGCAGGGAGTAATCCAGCAGAACCAGGAAGCACTTGCTGTGTGGGTACACTCCACCTGGGAGCCTCTGCAGCCAGCTACCAAGCCTCTGGGACAAGGACCTTTCCCCAGCCCTCCTGGCAGTCAGCTGCTCCTCCCAGAGCTGCAGCTGCTACACTGGGCAACACAGGACCCCCAATGTGCAGCCATGCTCTGGAGTGGCTGCAAAAATGACTCTTCTCTCTCTCCACAGCCTGCTCTGTGTGTGTCCTAGGGCAGACCAAACAGTAGGACATCAGCTCCAGGCAGGGCAGGGGGGCAGTGAGGGGCCTGCAGGAGCACAGGGGCTCAGGGTGTGCACATTTCTGTATTCCTCCTCCTCCCCTCCTGCTCCCGCCAGGTCAGCAGCAGCTGCCACGAAGGAGAAGAGCCCCAGAGCCAGGGTAGTGAAAAAACAGGCTTTTATTCTTCATGTGCTGCTCACAGTCACAGCTTGGAGACACTCTCTTGCCAAAGTTATTATGAAACAAATCAAGTCCCAGACTCAGGCCTCGCTCTTCCCCACCCCCAAGAGAGTCAACATTGTACAAAACTCTATTTACAGGGAAAACAGTCAGAAATGGTGAGTCCAAAAAACCCCCTTGCAATTCAGAAGAAAACGTTCAAGACAAGTGTGACAGTTACACCCTCCACAGCCAGCTTCCCATTGGCTGCTCCCTGGACTAGTAAAAGCCCAGAGCAGCCCACCACTGGCTACTAAAAGAGGAGCCTGGTAATCCTGAATCATGCCACAGCTCTTTCCTTTCCTAAAACGCTGGGATATCACAAACCCCACTTGACCCAACAAAGACTCAGCTGGATCTGCCCTACAGAACTTTCAGCAAGATACCCTGGGACTCCCTCATCTGAAAGGGAGGACAAGGACATGGGGCTGAGGGTCAGCTGGAGGCCCTGCTTGGGCACTTCCCAAGAGAGAACTGCTCTGGCCAGAAGCCGGAATGTCAGGAGCCTTCACATAGGCAGCAGGATGTGTTGGGAAACCTAATAGCTGATACTGTATTTACTGGACTCACATTACTTTGAAACACAAACCAAGAGGACCAAACCAATATTTGAAAAGGGGGGAAAAAAAGCACACACTCCTCCTGATGGTGCCTGGAAGAGCACCCAGAGGAGCCGCGAGATTTGTGCCCCGGCAGCTGCCTCTCAGAAAGCGTAGCGCGTGCGGATGTCCTCCAGCTTCTTGGACACCTCGGGTGGGGTCCGGTCCAGCTCCTCGGCCACATTCTTCTGTTTGTTAGGCTCCATGGAGTTGAACTGCTCACACAGGTCCCCATCAATCACGTTCTGGAGGGGCAAGGAGGAGAGAACTGAATCGAAACCACACAGAGGCACTGAACCCTGCCTAAACAGGGAAAAATGGCCACAAACAGTTTGTTCCCAGGAGTTTCTTAATCCTGTCCTGGAAACGAGACCATGCTCGGTGACCTCATCCGCTGAATAGCAGCAGTTAGCATCACATTAATTACTGGCCAGCTTGATTAACGAAACAGAAACCCAAAAGGCCTGTGTGCAGCTGAAGAATCACACAAGGGAAAGGAAGAGAGATCTGCCTGGGTCTGAGCCCTGCACTGGGAAGGCTGGGGAGGCTGTGAGTGGTGACAAAGGCAGCTTCAATCAAATGGGAGCAATCTTTGAGGCTGTGTATGTGGCAAATCAGCCTCAAGTTCATCGAGACCACCACCACCCTCCACTCCTAGAGAGCTTCATCTGCTGGGACAGTGTTCTGACTCCAGACTCATTACTCTGGTAGTACCACGGGGGTCCGTCTGCATTTAGCAGTTCACAGCTTCTAACAGTTCCTCAAAAGCAGAAATAGGCAGTAACAGCTATTTCTGCACTTGCATTTTCCTTTCCAGTGGTGGTGTAAAAAACAACCCAGGGCAGCACTCAATTTGATCCAGCCACACCAACAGCTATGTAATTCTGCATCTCCTGGTGCAAAATGGAGATGCTGTGGGAACTAGAGAAGTGCAGCTACAGCACCTCTAGGCTTGGGTCTTAGGATCAACCCTCAGGAGGCTCATTACAAGAGTTAAGAAATCAAAACAGATACGTATTAAGTGCTAAGTACTGTTCTCCTAACAGACTGCTGCTCAAGAGCCAGACACCACAGGCACTACACCTCAGTTTTCCTTACTAAACAACAAGCTTGCCTTGTACAAGACAATAACCTTGCCTTGCTTCTGCCAGCCTCCAGGCAGCTCTGTGCCCCAAAGCAACTCTCTGCACCCCAAGACCAGGGGATCCCACATGCCCAGGGCTTACCTTCACTGGGAAGTAGTAGGAGCGGAAACTGAGATGGTCTCGTCCACAGAGAGGAGGGTGCTCAGACCGTAAGTGCATTTCCACATGCTGGAAGAAGTCGTGATCCTGGAGAGATAAAGGATTGGTAAGAGAACAGTTTGCTACACATCAGTGCTGCTAGCAAGGCAAGACAACACCCATTAGAAGGTTCTCCTGCACTGGCTGAAACACTGTCATTACATGGCCATTTGGGGTTGGATGAGATGATCTTTAAACGTCCCTCCCAATCCAAACCATTCTTGGTTCTGTGGTTCTGTGATTAACAGACTCTGCTAGAGCAGCCCTGCACGTTGGATGAGATGATCTTTAAACGTCCCTCCCAATCCAAACCATTCTTGGTTCTGTGATTAACAGACTCTGCCAGAGCAGCCCTGCACATGGCAGTCAAAGTCATGGCTACCCCTCATCACTTCCACCTGGA